AACAAGGTTTCGGCCGTTATTATCAGCCCTTCTGAACTGCAAACAGTCGGTATGATGTACAGTGGTACGGTAGCATGAGATAGTCAAGATGTATTTATAGTTGGCTTTTTGCTTTGTGCTGGAGTTTACACAAGTTACGCCTTGAAGGAGAAATAAACTCCGTCATCTCTGTTCACACCTTGGGTCTGATCTGGCTTAAGTTCTTGATTGTCTCGTGCTACTGTACCTCTGTATGTCATATCGATTGTTTGCGGTTGAGAAAGGCTGGTAATATCAGCCGAAACCTTAGTCCTTCACCATAAACGTTTGTGCCGCTGTAATATCGAACAAGACAGTGCCTTACTCAAGAAGCAGCGACATTTTTCTAACATTTAGCAGCTCTTACGTAATCACTGCCTTCAGCAGTAAGAAGCATGGCAAGTTACTTCGTTGGCTTTATTAAAAGACATATGAAGCTCATTTCATCGCAATATTGGTGCAGCTGGGTTTTAAGTTCTAAAGCTGAACAATCGAAACAAGCCATTAAAGCGACAGGCTTCGTTTTCGGATGTTTTTTTTCTTTGAGCACCCTCAGTGCATTTGGTCTTGTCTAAAATGCGCTCTAGTAATCAGTAGTAGCGCTAATAAGTACCCTGTATTAAGAAAGACCTGTTAATTTTGTGCATTCCATCACATTGGGTTCGCCGTTGAGTGATTTCTCAACGAACCGTTGAAACTCGCAGCTTTCAAAAGTTTTTTTGTAGTGTAGATTCTTACAAGTCGTCTTCTTTGTTGTTAACTCCTTTTGACACTAACAGAAAAAACGCTGTCGCTCATGAAATTACTGGACACTCGTAAATGTCATTGCTTTTGAAGATCTGATACGTTGTCAGCAGCTGCTTGTTTTAAGTTTAAAGATTCTACGGGTTAAACCGCCCGCTGTCGGGGTTTTCGCAAGGTTCGGTGTAGTTCAGCGATACAACATGCCGCTTAAGTGTACGTCGTAAGCTTACTGTGACATATTATGCTCATTCATATTTTACCACAAATCGAGTTACGTCATGTTATTGCCGTAGAAGACAGCGAATGCCGATTTCTGCCTACAGTTAGGTAGGGTCTCCCGCTGTTTGTTGTTGAAGAGTTCTGTTGGCAGTCTGGTTATTGATGAGTTCCGTTAACACTCAACTTAAATTTTTTTTAGATTTGCTTCATTAATCTCCTTGTTAATGGCACGATCTTTTGATCATAATTATCATTTCAGTCATCTGCGCTCCATAATTACTAACTTGGAGATGGCCAACTTTGACTGCTCTTCGATTCTACACTGAAATGCACAGGTCGTTTGAATATGGACCTTTTCTAACGTATTTACTGGTCATTGCACATTTCAGGCATTACCATATGGCTGATAATGCCCGCTTACCATGGTAAAGTCCTACTGTAAAGTGAGTTCCACGTTCCATGTAAATGGTCCTCATGCCCTTTAGGGTGCGTGAATAAAGACTGGTTTCTCTATTAAATCTGTTGATTAGAGAGCACCAATAATTGTTTTTTGCCGGTTTGGAGCTCATTGATGAAACGGCCATCCACATTGTTTGTGGATGTTTTACAGTCGTTATAGTTGCCGCTGTATGTCTATCATAGCCGTACCACGTTGCGTGCTACACGTCCTTTCTATTTTCATCACAGCTGTTGCTTACAGCGTCATCAGAAAAGTGATTAACCCAAATATTCGCGGATAATGTTTGCCGAATTCAGTATCATCTGTTCCACCTAGCAAAACCTGATCTGTAATTCGAGTACGCAAGCCTCTTAATATGCGCTTTGTTTATATTCATTCTGGCTTCCTTACTTTCCATATCCATTTACCAGATTGCTTTATTCGAAGGGGTAGTTTTTTTGCGGCAGTTACCGGAAAGAAAATACCCAGGTGAAGCATGAATTCAGTGAGATGTGCCAGCCTTACGACAGTGTTAGTGGTCTGATCAACTTAATGATAATGAAATTTCGTTTTCGTTTGTTTTGCGCAAACACCTATCCCCAAAACTGGAAACTTTGTCATTCGTTTCACATCCATTAATGGGTCTCTGGCTATATCTCATGCATGCAAGGCCTTACTGAAGATGTGACTTCCCGTCCATTTGTGTCACCTGAACAAACTGGAAAATTGGTTCAATGCGCACTTGTTATTCTGATGATGAGCGATTATCCAACAACAGCACTTGTCCACAGCTTGTAATTTTCTTCACTGTCCGCGCTCCAATAGTTTTGCTGGAGAAAGTACGTTCGCTGTGATTTGGTTTTCTCACCTTAATAGTCGTGCTCTCTTCTTCTCGTCGCTCCAATACAGATGATTATATGATGTTACAGACTTTTGGTTTAATAGTCGTTAAGGAAAACAGGGCGAAGTAGCCAAGAGTTGCTGCAGATATTCTTGTTTTTGAAATCAGACCGTATATCGCAACTGACGTCATTTATGCCAGTCTATATGATTCAGGACTGTTTAACGTTTTTGAAATTATTTGAAAGCTTGGTCACCGATATCCGGGTTCAGATCTTCGTTGAATTCCAACCGCGCTTCTGAATATTCATCTATTCCTTTTATTTGCGGTTATACCTCATGTTGATTTTGAAGCAGCTATCAGGCATCTAGACTAATTGCAGCCCTAAGAGGGGTATGACCGCAAGCCTCGCAAATCCTGATTAGACTACAACAGAACACCAAATTCTTCTTATTATTCGCAAACTAAATGCTTGCTACCCGTCTCTTAACTGATTGCAATGTTGTGTTCCTTTGTTTGCAGTTTTCCATGCTCGAGCAAATTATCTGTTTTAATAAGTACTATGCCGTGCATGGAACTAGAAACCAGCATTTTAACTGCAGCGTGACATACAATCCAGAGCGTCCCGCTCCCTCCAATTTAATGGGATTTATTTCATCCTTTTCCAGTCTGCTTTCTGTATCTTTTCTTCGCTACACTGTGTTCTTGTTCGGTCACAGGATTTTATTATCCGAAATGAGTTTTGTGAACATCGCGCTGATCTTTGATAGTTACGTGCAGGATGAAGAAAAGAACTTTTGTCCACTTTAACAAAAGATTACAATAAGCGTGGCAGGCTTTTAAAATTTTAATTCGACGTTTCGGCTT